ACGCTCGCGTCGACGTCGATGGCGCTTACGACGCTTAGGGTGGTCGGAATCCGCCGAGCAGGAAGAAGAGGAGCGACGTCGGTGCTTGCTACGATGCCGATGGGAGCGGCGCTTCTTCCTAGAGCGTTTGCGCTTAGAGGATTTCGAGTCCGAACGATGGGAAGAGTCGGACTGAGTGGAAGCCCGATGCCTCTTCTTGGACCGTTTCCGTCGAGGAGATCCCCGCCCGGGGCCCCTCTCTCCCTTCACAGCGCCGCCATGGCCGCCCCCGGGAAGAGCGGGAGGCTCAGGCGGAGGAAAAGGCGCCGCCGCCGCCGCCGCGGCCACAACTTTTCAATCCTGCCGCCATCTTGGGCGTCGGCGTTCCCGGCATGCACCGCGCCCTCGCCTCATTCAGGCCTCTCAGAGCCGGGCTGACGTCAGTCCTCCGAAAGGGGGGGAAGGCGCAGGAGCACAGAGAAGGGAGCCAGAGCGTCCCTTTTTGACGTAAGGGGCGGGGAAGAGGAGCGCGCAGGCGTCTAAAGACGATTTGCCCGAAGAGGTACAGAAAGGATTGAGAGCTCGAAGGGCCTCCACTTCCGGTTCAGATTAAAACCATCTGAGGGGCCCAGAGGATGAAGAGAAAGCAGCCTTGAGTCGACGAGAATCTTCAGTACTTTCTTTATCGCCTTTTCTTTGTAACTCCAGTGCATTCCTAGCGTTCTGGATCCGCACAAAGAGGATTCTTAGGAGCTGCGTTCGAGAGCCGGAAATCGATTACAGAACTCATCGGTTCGCATCTCTTCCGTCCTCCTCTTATTTCCCCGCCCACTTTGTTTAAATTGCCGGACATTGATTGGCTCTTTCCTTCCAGGCTCCGAGGTTTCTCTGCTTTGGGCCGCTAGAGGGCGCGGGAAGGGCGGCGACCTCGAGGCGCGCGTCGATGAGGTCACCGCGCGCCCAGGGGTGGAGAGGCGCCTTCGGAGGAGGAGAAGCCGGGCGAGCTCTCGCGGTCCGGGCGCCGTGGCCGTCGGATCGGTCGCCATCCCGGGCGAGGAGCCCGTGTCCGCGGCCCGGCGGGGGACGGGTAGGCGCTTCGGCCCCTGCCCTTTGGCTGGCAGGTAGGCAGCCTTCCTTCTTTCCGCTGGCCGGGCCAATGCGGTTCCCGAGTTTAGGCCCCGGCGGACTACCAGTCCCATCAGGTCGCTCTCAGGCCCGTAGGCGAAGGCTCCCGGCGTCGTGGATGGTGGGGTTTGTAATTTTTTCCCCCATGGAATCCCCTTAGACGCAGGAGGTCCCCTTCCTGGTCCTGTTATTCCCCCCACCCTTGCTCGGACCCTGGGAGCAGCAACACGCGTGTCTCTCCTTTCACACGAAAGGTGCAGGGTGGGGACGAGAGGCCGCGGGGCGCCACCAACCTCGGCCCGCTTAGAAGCCCCGGAATGCCTCGGTGGAAAGTGGGGGCCCCGAGCCCACAGCGCTCCTTGGTCTCAGTTTGATTGACTTCGCTTTTCCTCCCAGGGGGTCCTCTTTGGGGGAAGGAGAAGGACCTGCTTGGTTTCATTCAGAAACTGTTTTGCTCTTTTGCCAGGAACGTCTTGAGAAGAGTGCCTGGAATAAAAATAAAAAATTATATATGTCAGAAATGCACAATCCCTAGGAAGCGATGTGGCTGCGAAGTTTCAGGACGAGAGTTCGAGGAGCGACGCCTGTGGAGGGTGAGTCCCCCCTGCAAGACTGCTCTTGAATGAGGGAAGGGGTCCAGGCCTGGTCAGGGTGCGTCGCCCCCCCCCCCCC